GGGGGGGGGGGGGGGGGATAAAGGAATAGTGCACTACAAGGATATATAGATAAGAAATGAAACATACCACCATTTCGCGAGTACATTGCACCACTAACATAGCCCGAAATGAATGATGTCAAAGCATAACATACTATGAAAGTCGTAACAATGGCTCCTCTCCTGTAAAAGAATGCACAAATTCTATTTCAGCTGACCGTCTTAAAAAAGTAACAAATAAACAGAGCTACTGTAACAACTACTTGTAGCATCTAGTAATTTCATGACAATGCTATAACTTAACTCAAAACCATGAAAATAGAAGTACCAGACCTATCATGAATTGCCCATATAATATACTCCTAGTCTCCTACATAAATAGGCAACAACTAAAGTTCAAAGGTTGATATCAAGTATTTAACATACCCAACATACAACATCCCCACAATTGCCAACAGAATGACAAGGAGAACAAGCAATGCCAACTGTGCCCCAGTACCAACAAGAGCAGAAAGTAACACTAGGGTACGAGGAGTCCGAAATACATCTCCATGAACAAGTTTCCAACCAGACTCTTCACTCACATCTCTTTCCTGAAACGAAAACAATAATGGTTAAGAAAATAATCCTAAATGGCTAGAGATTATCTAACAGAATGCTGTTTAACCACGAGGTTGTTACCAGAGTCTCCAAGTCATCATCTTCCCTAGCATATTTGGCGTAATCATTCCTCAGTGTCCGCATCAATATCATAGACACCAGACCAGTAAGAAAGATGACCATCATGAAGGAGTTAAAGATGGAGAACCAATGAATCTGCAGAGTACATACCAAATTACAAACTATACGGCGGAAAAATGAATCCTATGGTGCTAACTTAAATACAAAGAGATGCTTTAAAACATTAGATTGATCCAACTACAATGATTAAATATATTAAAAACAACAGACAGCGGTCAGGAAAAAACTGCATGCAAAGGTCAACAGTGTTAAGGTAATGCACCATCAATAGTTCAATCGTTGGAGTGACCAATAAAATTAAGAAAAAAATTATCCAATTAACGTCCACCTGATGTTCAAAAAATGGGTAATCCAAGTAAACTTCAAAACGACGAGCAAAACTGATATTGGTTGGTTCCCATTTGACAGAATATGTCATGTCCAATGTTCTCCCAGCCTCCAAAGGCTTTGGGCCCTCTTGAGAAATATTGACATGAATGATCTGCAAGAACAAAGTCATGGTGAAAATGAATATGCAGACTATCCACCAAAATTGGATGAGATGATCAAGTCACAAACCTGGTCCTTATTGAATCTAATATGGATGTTCTTATGTGTGTAAAGTACGTGCTTATTATCACTGTTTCTGTCAGGATGTTGCTCTCCAACAAAACCTATAACACAAGCAAAAACAACTTAGACCCACCTACGTTTCATCTCTTGCCAAGAAAAGTCAAAAGACTGAGAGAGTACGTACCCCACAATGGCAGGTCATCTGAAAAAAATTCAACAAACCGGAAACAAAAGAAGGTAAAGGTCAAGACAAGAAAAATCATTAGAATTCAAAAGAATCTAAAATAAAGCAACAGGCAGAACATCTGGAAAAAGTGGGGATAAGTTCAGTGCTGAAACAGAAGTAGGTAAAAATCAAGACAACCAAATTAACTTGAAGTCAACAATAATGTGGCAATTAAACAAAAAATAACAAAATATATTTTATATTAATGTAGAAACAGCTTTCAAAACAAAACTTCAATAAGAAAATAACAGAGAGGTGAAGCCTCACCAATATATGATGCATTAGGCGTCAAATGCAAATGTATTTTAATAGAAGAATAGGCAGTATCTGAACAGATACTATTCGTAGATTTTCATTGGTCTAGAACTCTACAATTTCCGAAGGATAGCTTCGGTTTGAGGCTTAGGTTGAAGAGATGAAATATAACCAAGATATATCTTTTCATCAGAGGTTGAATCGATCATCACAAGAAGAATTAGGCCCTTGTCCTCATTAAGATAGGAGGATATTTTCTCATTGTTTTCTTGCAATTGCTAACAAATAAGGGATAAGAAAACCGAGAAAAGGGTTTCAAAGTCATGCAGAGGTGTCATTGCAGGGAATCTTCATAAGAATGCATAAAATGTTCCAATTAATCTAAACTTCTCACTGCAAATTCAAACTTCCTTCAGCCATAATTTTAAAGTAATACCAAAGAATAAAAAACAAGTAAAATATACCAAAGAATAAAGTTTGTTACCAATGAAGAATTCAAACCAATAATTGTTTTCAATAGCATCTTTGAATTGCTTGACCTTCGCTTCATCAAGTTCAAGCTCACAAATGCTACCCTTGTCCACGTTTTCTATCAAACACAAATAGTCCATGTCAATCTCAAAGCAAATAAGAGTAGCCAGGAGTCAAACTGAAGAGGATTCACATACTTTGAAACCTTATGTCAATCTGACTATCAATAAGCTCGTTTCCACCCAAAACTTCACCAAGGCCACCCCACTTGTGAGAACCAGAAGCATGACAGAATGGAAGGCTGTAATAGTTGTATGTTTCCTGTGGGTTATTATACGGCCCAACTTTGTTTACCCACAGAGTAACTGGGTCATCTGGTTGATACTGTTGGACAAAGCATAGGAGTCAGATTGAAGCATTTGCATGTAGTAAGGCCTAAGTAAGAAACAAAAGCAAAAGCATATTGCAGCAACACATCCACTTAATTACTGCACATTCTAATACTTCCCAGGAATTTACAGGAAACAAATATGAGATTAAATATTTTCTCCTCTCTAGAAGATACTTCAACTAACAAATTTGCAGAAGTGAACAAAACTTAGGGCAACGAAGCAGACAAGCTTGCATTGCTTAAAAGCACAAGCAAAAAGAAAGGTATAGGATTAACATCTTAACCAAACACCTGAACCATAAGGTAAATCATGAATGCCCTTTTTTTTAATCAAGTAGTGAATGCCGTTACGCCACATCTGTCCATTAAGCAGCATAAGTGCTACTGTGCTAGAACTGAATAGATTGACAGCATAAGTGCTAGAACTGAATAGATTGAAGTGTCAAACGAGCTACAAATACTCCTGAATAGAAAATCCTAGATCATCACCCTTGCGGCAGGAACAAGTATTATCATAATATAAGAGAAAGAGAAAGTGGCAAGACTGAGTAGCTCTTAAGATCTTTCCCAGAAAAGCAGTATAGTTATAAACCTCACATGGTGAGAGAAATAAGAAAGTGGAAGTTGAACCTGTGAACTTTTGTTTATAACACCACAGCCTAACCATTTGAGTTAGGCCTCATTGGCCAGAATTAATATAAAATGAGGGGGCAGCTAAAGTTATCCAATATCGATCTGTATTTACAAATCCATAAAAAATGGAGAGCTTAAAAAGTACATATGTCACAAATAATAGAGTATTCCATAGCTTACTCCCTTAAGATCGATATGACAATAAAACCATATGTTCAAATAAACTGCTGAATGGCCATTAGTTACTTGAACAAACTTCAGCTCAAGTTTCTAAATCCCATCAGGACCAGTCAATAAGCAAGTTTTATAGTTATATATGCAACATGCACCATCAACTACGATTTCAACATCTTCAACTGCGACACTCTCTGGCACCACCGCCAATCCACTACGCGCACCTACTAGATACCCACTCTACCAGGTCCACTAATTAGCCTTTTTATAATAGAGTATACCCCTGAAGCTACTTTTAATGGATACTTTAACCTTGTTCGTCGACAATGTAGTGCACCTGTCTCATCAATTCACTCCCGCCACCAACCGATTAGCAATTTGATAAAGCCATCTAATCTGAACAAAAAAGGCATCAGCTTGCCATCCCTTATTTGAAAATTGATCTTCCCATCCTAAGGTTTCATCAACAATGCGTCCCACCTGTCTAGTCGCTCCTAATTCCTCAAATAGCAACACATTGAAGCCATCTTAATATCTGAACTAAAAAGGGATCACCTTTTTTTGTCCCTTTCTTGATCTTTTCATAGTAATAAGTTGAGTTCCAGCACCCAACCATGCAAACTCACATAAATCACCTCGTTTCTATCTTAGACGCATGAAATTAAGCAAATAATCCCACACCAAATCTCAGTCATTACATTTACATATCATCTGCAGAAGGCAATGGCCATGATCGAATCTTCCTCATAACAGCCGCAAAGACACATTCTGAAGGACCTCTAAGTGGCTTTTATTTCGCTATTTTACAACATAATAATCAGCAGATATAACCAGACAAGTGTTATACCTACGAATAGCATATAAAGCACCTGTATGACAAATTTGAGATCAGGAGCAAGGAAGTTCGTTGAGATCGAAAGACAAACCATGAAATTTGCATTAACAAAGCGGTAACTACACTCATTCCCTTATGAATCAATCTATCACAACTTGCAAAATTTCGGAATCAGAGAAGCAATGCGCAAAAGAAGATCTCCGCAATTGGAGCTCCCATGGATCTGAAAAGCATAAGGATGCTTCTAACCGAAAAGAAACAAAATGAATGCGTACAAATTAAGAAATTGAAAGAGACGACCGAAATTAGGGTTTTCTACGGTTCCTATATCGAACATTATACCTTGTGATCGGACTCGGAAGCAAGCGCCGGCGAGACGACGAGGAAAGCGGCGAGGAAGGAGAACAGAGTTAGTGATCGGACGGTGGGCCGCATCATAATCGCCGGCGACGTTAGGGATTGGCGCGCGAGATAATGGCAGAAGAGACGGGGGATCCAACCCAAAGCGTGAACGGATTTTATATTAGTAGATTATGATCTGATTTTTCGACAAATAGAGACCCAGAGAGGGGGGAGCAGCAGACAGCAGAGTACTATAAAAGCTGTTTAATTATCACTATAATAAACAGTTGAATGACAAAAAGAAAAAAGAAAACTACAAATAAAACTGTAATCTCACTAATTCAAAATCATTTAATTTCTTTTTCTACTCTCCTGCGGAAGAAAATAGGCAAAATACCTTAACACCACCTAAACTTGATACGGATTATTAGTTACAACCTTAAACTATTGGTTTTAATTACCCCTCAACTTGGCCTTTTGAGAGTCATTATCCCCTGGACGCTAATGTGGCAAAGAGTGGGGATGCACTCGCCTGCCATGTGGATTTTTCTGTATATGTGGCATTTTTTTTTTAAAAATAAAATATAATTTTACCTTTTTAAGTATATTACTTTTTTGGATAATTTTTTCGAATACAATTTATAATAAAACTTGGATAGAACTACATTATTTTAGCTAAATAAATTATATGACTAAAAATAAGAAAGTTTTAGTTAATCTTTTTTTGAATTTGACCTGAAAATAAAGATTTATACAATTGAAATAAATAGCCCTTAAGAGGCTAAGGTCCAAGGGGCTACCGCAGGAAGTCAGCTTCCTCTGTAACCTTAAGGAATACAGAAAGTTACCCGGAATTCCTAGCAAGGGTCAAGCATATAAAAAGCTATAAAAAAAATACATGACTTTCCGTTTCTTCTGACATCAGGCACTTCGAATTGGATTATGAAAACTCCGGTTCAATTTTTCGGTTATGAAATACCAAACCAAACAATCTCAATTTGGTTTGTTTTCTTAGAGATTTCAAATTAATTGGTTTAGTTATTTTGAAATTTCTGTTTAACCTATGGACATCTTCTGACAAGAAATAATGGACCTCTGAATAAAGTATTTTTTGTCAAATTGCCTAATTACCTCCCCATTATATTCATCTGAAAATTTGATAATTGTAAGTACAAATGTAAATCCTTGATATGACAAAAGGATTACAAGAATAAAAAATAATAAAAAAAAAGTATGAGATAACTATCATGAGTATATGTTATAAATAGTTAATTGAAATAAATAGTAAAAGCATCTAAAAGTTATAAAAAAAATACACATGACAATTTATTTCAAGTAAATCTTTATTTTCAGATCAAAATCAAAAAAAGATTAACTAAAACTTTATTATTTTTGCCAAATAAAAAAATTTAGTCTAAATAACGTAGTTCTATCTAATTTTTATTATAAATTATATTCGAAAAAAATGATCCAAAAAAGTAACATACTTAAAAAGGTAAAAATATATTTTATTTTTAGAAAAAATACCACATAATCAGAAAATTCCTCGTGGCAGGCGAGTGCACCCACACTCTTTGTCACATCAACGTCCAGGGGGGTAATGGCTCTCAAAAGGCCAAGTTGAGGGAGTAAATAAGACCACAAATAGTTTACGGATGTAACTAATAATCCGTGTCAAGTTTAGAGATATGTTAAAATATTTTGCCAAGAAAATACAAAAAAAAAAAAAAAAAAAAACCAACAACTAATTTCTTTGGAAAACGAAATTAACAGTGGTGTAAAGTGTAGGATCGTTGAATTTTCTGTGTAAATATCATAACTCGGGATTGCCCTACATGCAAAAATTGTTAAACACACTAAATAATACTGTAGAATTTGAGAAATTAATCAATTTAGCAAGGAGCATGTATGATTTGGTATGTCTACCATATGGCCATTAATTAATTAAAAGCTTGGCCAAACACCTTTTATGTTAATAGTTAACTAATTAACGTAATAATACTAAGTGACTCTTTAAGAATATTTATGTCTTGACATACTTTATCTATTGTTGACAATACACTTTTTTTTGGTTAAAACGATGCATTTCATTAGAAATTACCCGTTAGGGTGCCAATTGACAGTAGCATTGTTTCAAGGGGGTATATTAATTCACCCTCATTTTAACTAAAATTATCAATATTACAATCCAATATTTGTCTTGAGAAAACAGTGCCTGTGATGTCTGCCCAAAAAGCATGTGCGGGAAACACCGGAGGAATTATTGTTACAAAAATATTTCCAAAAAAGTTCTTCTTGGCTCCCTCTTGGCTAGTAGATCAGCTACTCTGTTTGTCTCCCTGTAGTTGTGCTTCATCATCACGTCTCCTAGTCTTTGGACGATTGACCTGCATTCAAAGATCATTGAGTCAAAAATAAGATTTCCGTTAGTAAGCATTCTAATTACCTTTGTGGAGTCTGTGTTGATTTCCAAAGGTGTAAGTTGCCTTTCTTCAGCTATTTGCAGGACCTTTAGGATAACAAGCAATTCGGCCTGTGTGTTGGTAGTATGTTGGACACTTCCTATGTAGCCCAAAATCCAGTTGCCACTTGTATTTCTGAAAACACCTCCGACTCCTCCCTTATCAGGGTTCCCAACTCCATCAGTGTTGAGCTTATACATGTTGGTTGGAGGTGGTGTCCATTTGACCCATATAGTTCTGTCCTTTGTTGGTGCTCTGTTTATCAATATGGTAATATACTCAGTTGCTTTTGCTAGGGCAGCTTTTGTATTTACCATATCCTTTCTTTTGTTGAAAAAATTGTTGTTTCTTGTGAGCCAGATTTGTCAGGAGCAGAAAGGAAGTAGGTCTTCCCAATTGATGATGTTGTTGAAAGGTTCCTTTTTAACGAAATCCCATATGCTTTGCCAGTCCTTACTAGTGAAGGAGGAGACATGGCTTGAAAGAGGATTGGTACTTTCTGAAACAAGCTTTGTCCAAAATATTTTTGTATTGGGACAATCGAAGAAGATGTGAGCAGATGTTTCAATTGCCCGGTTGCATAAACAGCATTTTGGGTCAATTTGAATCCCAATATGGTGGAGGAAAGACCCAGTGGGGAGCCAATCAAGGAAAAGAAGCCAGAAGAAAGATTTGATCTTATTTGGAACTTTTAATTTCCAGATCCACATGTAATTGTTGCTTGTGTTTGCACAATTTTATTGCTCAAGATTATGAAGGAGGGTGTATGTTGACTTTAAAGTGAAGATCCCATTAGTGGTTGCCCCTAGATCATTCTATCTTCTTTTATTGGATTGGGTGGGATGAAGGTGTTTTGGATACTTGGGGGTATGTTTAGGGATATAGAAGAAAGGTCCCAATCCCCATTGTTATGAGCTGAGGCCACTGTAATGGCCATGTCCTCTTTGGTAAGAGGGCCTTCAATAATGGATCTGATTAAGGGGAGGTTTGGGATCCAAGGGTCATTAATGAAGTTGACTTTGTTCCCTAAGTGGACAGCCCATCTTTTGGCTTGCATGCATGTTTCCCACCCTTTGAGGATGCATTGCCAGGTGTTTGACTTTGATTTTTTTGGTGGGTGTCTCCAGTTGCAGTGTTTGGCTATAAGAGTTTTAGCCTAGAGAGAATGGGGGTTCTGGTAGAGCCTCCATGCCAGCCCTGAGTGAATTACTTTGTTCTTCCGGTCAGCTTTTTGTATTCCTAGACCCCCCTTAGCCTTTGATTTTGTGACTGTATCCCAAGAGAGTAGATGCATTTTCCTTTTGACACTTGTAGTACCACAAATAAAATTCCTTTGGATTTTGTCTATTTCTTTAGATGTTTTTTAAGGAAGTTTAATGTATTGCATGACATGGTTAGACATGGTATTTAGTGATGATTTTGCAAGGGTATTTCTTCCAGTCATATTAAGCGTATTTGTTTTTCATCCAGCCAGTTTTGTGTGTAGATTATCAATGATGAATTGGAAGTCATTGTGGGTGGGCCTTTTGTAGAAGATTGGGAAACCAAGGTATTTACCAAAGGTGGCTGATGCCTGAATGGCTAGGATGTTAAAGATGGTTTCCATTTGGTGTGGTTGGCAGTTGGCATTGAAACAGACTTTGGACTTGCTAAGGTTGATTTTCTGTCCTGAGGCCTGATTAAAGGATTTGAGAGTGTTGAGAATAGTGCTGCAATTTCCCTGATTAAAAGAGTGTTAGATCATCAGCAAAAAAGAGATGTGATATCTTAGGGCCATATCTGCTAATGCTAATGGGGGACCATTCCTTGAGTTGGACATTCCTCTCAATGGCCCTGGATAGTCTTTCCATACAGAGGATGAAAAGGTAGGGTGACAAAGGATCCCCCTGCCTAATACCTCTAGTGGGCTTAAAGGAGTTTGTCTTCTCTCCATTGACAAGGACAGAGATGGATGAGGAGCTGACACAAGACATAATGAGATTGATGGTGGCAATGGGGAAGTTGAAGACATGAAGGGTTTCTTTTATGAAGGACCATTCAAGTCTGTCAAAAGCTTTTTCCAGGTCTATCTTGAGGATCATGTGGGGTATTTTGCCTCTCATATTCCCAAAGTGGGTGATGTATTCCTGGACTATGATAGCATTATCAGAAGCTCTCCTGTTGGGGAGGAAGCTAGCCTGAGAGGGGCCAATGATATTGGGCAAATAAGGCTTGATTCTGTTTACTAGTATCTTGGTGATAGTTTTGTAAACAGTGTTGCATAGGCCTATGGGCCTAAAGTTATTGATCATCAATGCCTGAGGACATTTGGGAATGAGGCATAGGAGTGTCTCATTCATCGGAGATGCATTGTGGATGTTGAAAAACAATTTGTACAGAAAAGGATCACATCCTTTCCCACAATGTCCCAGTATTTCTAGTAGAAGAAAGGGTGTAAGCCATCAGGGCCTGGAGCTTTGAAAGACTTGAATGAGAAGATGGCATTCTTGATTTCACTATCTCTGAGGGGCATTGCCATAGAGGATTTTTGGATTTCATAAAGGGAGGGTCCCTAGGGCTCTGAGTGGTGGTTTTCCTTTGGGATTGAGTAATGTATGTGGAGTAGAGCTTCTGGAAGAAATTTGTTATTGAATCTTTTATTTCCTGTGGTTCATAATGCCAGTGCCTTGATTCCCCCTTAAGGTATAGAATTCCGTTTCTCCTTCTCCGGTTAAGGGTGGATGTGTGAAAGAATCTAATATTGGCATTACCATCAGAGAGCCAGTTAATTCTGACTTTCAGCTTCCAGAAATCTTCCTCATTTTTGAGGACTGAATCAAGCTCTTCTATAAGGCTGGTCTTCAGATTTTGGAGGAAGATGCTAGTTTGATAGCTAGGAGATTTCTGAATCCCAGCTATCCTGGCAAGAAGAGTCTTTTTTTTGTGCAAAATGTTGCCAAAGGTTGTTTTGTTCCAACTGGTAACATTTTCTTTGAATCTAGTGGTGGAAGGGATCAGAGTAGAGTGAGGTGGGAAGGAATCCCTGATGAGTGTTTGGAACATTGGGTGGTTGCACCACATGGATTCGAACCGGAATGGGTTGGTGGAGGCCAGATGTGTGTTATTGTTGAGCTTTACTAGCAAAGGACAGTGGTCAGAGTAGGTCCTTGCAAGGTGAGTAATGCTTGCCTCGGGGTATTCATGTACCCAGTGGTTATTGGCAAAACACCTATCAATCCTTTCTAGGATGAGGCAAGACCTATTTTTGTAACGCTTGTTGGACCAAGTGTACTTGCTACCCTTGAATCCTAGGTCTACAAGTTGGCAGCTATTGACACAATTCCAAAATAGGTTGCTCCTATTTGGTTTGATGGGGTTGCCCCCAAATTTGTCCCTAGCTTTCAAGACTTCATTGAAGTCTCCACCCATAAACAACTTCCACTATAATTATTGGAAATATCAACTAGGTTATCCCAGAGGGTCTTTCTGACCATGACCATGGCGTGTATACCTTATGGTGTCACTGCTACTTTGTCTACTTGGAGGGAGGATTCTTTCCACATGATAACTATGACTCCGGAGTGGCCTACTGCTGGGAATTAGATATGCATATCGTATTGTAGCTCTTCTGTCAGTTTTTTGTGATCTGCTATCTTTGTTTCCAACAGCACTAGCAGTGGAGGTTTGTGCAGTTTGACCATTTCTGAGCAATGCCGCCTGAATTCAGCACTGTTTGCCCCCCTAACATCCCATATTATAAAATTCATTAAGGGATGGGGGGTTTGGTTGGGATTGCTCGTCGATTCTTTTTCCCTTCCCTGGGGTGGCATCACTTCTCTCCCTTGGTCTGTGATGGCATAGATCTCATAAATGGGTTAGTGTCAACAGTGGCTTCATCACACCTTGGCTTTGATGGGATGACAGATTCAGTCCACATCTCGCAAGGGTCTTGGGGGAAAGAAATATGAGGGTCTCGCTGTGGTCCTCACTGAACTCTATCGCTCTCACTGCCTCTAGCCATAGTGAGTCTGTCCTCGGTGGGCTGTAAGATGGCATCATTTCCTTCACTGTAGGAGTTTCATGGCTCTTTAGGATGTTCAGTGTTTTTGATATTTCCTTCGAGATGTTCTCCAGTGGTGGGGAGCTCTGTTTCTCTTGCGATGAATACGAAGGGTCTTGATGTGCCATGGTTGAAGGACCTTGAACTGAGGAGTCGCAAAGTGATCCTCTATTGCCGGATCCGGGAAGAACGGGACTGAGTTGAAGATCTGCTGCATCATGTTGTGAACTGATGGTGGGTCGGTGGTTTGCTGCAGTGGATTGATGGTCTGAAGCACCATCGATGTCCATAGCTGAGATCCAAACATCGCCAAGCCCTTGTTTAGGGCCTCCGTAGTTACCCTGGCCAGATGTGCTGGGTTTTGAATGATGAAGGATATGGGCTGGTTGCCCAGCTAAAAACTGTAGCTTAATGCCTGGCCATAGAGGGCTATCTCCAGCCAGGATGTTGGTTCATGATCTAGTGGTGGTGGAACGGAGGTTAGGAAGACATGGGGGTTCCATTTTTGGGTTTTTTCTGTATGCCCTTTTTTGGATTGCTAATAAATTGGGGGTTATTGGTGTAATCAACAATTTTTGTTGATGATGGAGTTGGATCGTCTCTTATCGTGGACGTTTTGGTTTCTGTGTCTAATACACCGGGTATTGGGTTGTGGGAAAATCCGGTTGAGTTGATTGATGGTGTCAAATCAGTTGCCAAATTTGGATTTCTAAGATTTTGATCTGGGGTTTCCATGGAGTGAGTTTGCAGAGAGTGCGTTTGTATGGGTGATGCCTTGGAGTAGGGATCATCATTGATAATTGTTAGGGAGTTAATGAGATGGGGGTTGGAGTGGGTCTCCTTCTGATGGGTTGTCAGACACTCTTCTAGGCCCTTTGGGCTGATTAACTTTGGAGTTCTAGGTGCGTCAGTTTGGTTTTGCTTTGGGGGGGGAGGGGCTGTTTGGTTTTTGTTTTGGGAGCAGGTTCCTCACAATCTTTTTGTTCCCTTTCTTGTGGGCCCGCTTTCCTCTTCATGCTTGTACTGGCTTTTCCCTTGTGGGCTGACCTTGAGCACTTTGATTCTCCATGGGTTTGGTAATGTTTTTTTAGCCTTGGGCTAGGCTTGTGTCCTGCACTGGGTTAGTTTTTGTAGCATATCTAAAGGTTTGGGTGTCGAGAAACTTACTGGATATGGCGTCGAACATCCAAACTTGTATTCCCTCCGATTGAGTTATTTTGTTTTTTTCTTATCGAATTTCCAGTTGGTCGTTGTTGGGTGGGTGGTCCTTGTTTGCGCCAACAGTTTTCCATTCCCCTTCGTCATCATTAGTTTCTTTTTAGTTGGAGCAACTAGGGCTATATTTTGAAGGTGATGGTGATTTCATTTTTTGCCTTCGAGAACATCCTTTTAGGGCGTGGCCTAGTTTTTCACATCTGGTACATAGGATGTTCTCGCCTACATAGACAATCAGTTGCTTGTGACCTTGCAACTGGTGATTCCAACGGAACTTGGACACAGATTCTGGCATACCTTCCTCGCACTGTCGCAGAAGTGCAAGTATCAATTTTAAGTAGTTTCCTAGTTTTCTGCCAACTTTTTTCTAGGATTTCTTTATCATAGAATTCAATGGGTAGTTGGGGGAGGCGGACCCATATCGAGCTGAAAGATAGAGTGGCTTCTTGTGGGATGAATTTTGGCTCCCATCTTCCAACAGATAGGATGCTTCCAGCAATGAACCATGGCCCCTGGTGAATTGCCTTAACAAGTTTTCTTCCTTCCCAAATTTGACTATGAAGAAATCTCATCCTAGGTCAATCAAAATTAACTGTTCAGATGGGTTCCATAGTTTAATAAGTTTGGTTCGGAGTAGATGATGTGGCATACGCCGGCCAAAGAGCTTGATGATGACCGGGTGGCGCCATTGCTTATAAAGTCTGTTTCTATCTTCCAGGGATACTAAGATTGGGTCCATTTTCTCTTTGCCTTTTCTTTGAGTTTCTGTGTTTCCCATCTCAGCTGCGAAGTAATCTGTTTGTGAAGTAGCTTGCTTATCAAGAAGCATTTCTTTGTAAGAGTGATTATTTGAGATATCTTCCTCCATGTTATTTGGGTACGGTAGTTCCGGTGATATGTTAGTTGTTTTGGGTGGGTTCTCCATTGGGTTTGGCTATACTGAGAGTTGAGAATTTCTCCCTCTCAACTTGGTGAGACGGATGAACTCATGTAAGTGTGTTGGCTATGTCAAATTCATAAAATTGTTGACAATACACTTGTTCTCGTTCCAAGTTATATCTCTCATAAAATAATATACTCTTTGCATTTTATGTAGCATTTTTTCTTTTTAGTTATTTCAAACAGAATACGAACTTTTTATATTTAAAAATAATTTGATTTTATACGTTTTATTTTAATTTTAATGACATATTATAACAAAGAAATATCATGACACATTTAAGACCACAAATTCTAAATGTCATACCAGTTAAATATCCAGATATAAAATATAATGGAAGGAAAATGTAGATGATCTCATAAGTTGTATGAGTATTAGCAATGCAGAATATAATATTGCAAACTAAATGTTGCTTTATCCATAAACCAAATGAAGCATTAATAATGCGGAGATTAAATTAACGAACAAAATAGAACAGTATACTATTCGTTTCAAATTTTAAGCTGGGAGTATTTTTTTTTATTCGGACGAACCTTAAATTTATTTTCCTAATTTCGTGTTTGGACATTGAACAGTAATACTTCTTTGTTCCCAAAAAAACGTTGATCAAAATACGAAAGTCAAAACTTCTAGTTTCCACAGTAACACCAATTTATTTTTCGAAATAGGATTAACAAATTCAGAAATTGCGCAAAGTTTCCTATATATCAGAATTTATAGTTAAGGAAATTGTTTAAAATATATCATGATAAAGAAAATATTTGGTAGCATGGTAACAAAAATTGTCCAATATATCGAATAGTGACAGGCCCTATATATAGTAGTACAGATGAGTAATAATCCATTTATCAAAACTAATAGTATAAGGAATGTTTAAATAATTTCTAATACTTAAATTCAATGTTTGAAAAGGCATGTTCGGGGCGAGCTTTGGGCGGGCGTACCAAAAATGCCCCAAGACGATGGTGGAGGCGAAAGTGTGTACGCCAGCAATTCGGGGCGTACGCCCAGCAATTCGGAGCATCCCCCGGGCGTTTGAGGCGCGTTTGCCAGTGAGGCGTAAGCCCAAAAGAATTTTTCAAATTAAAATAAATTTTGCTGAATAAGTCCTTAATATAATATCCAAATTCTCAAAAGTCAACTTGTAATTACTCAAAAAATTTAAAAAGTAACTGAAATATCAAATTTAAAAGTTAAGACCCTTTTTTTATTGCTAGAAGCTCTAATTTATGGTCTTTTTCAATTCTTTATCTTGTTCGTTGGTCTTTTACTATCTCTCAAAAGCAACGAACGGTCAACTTCTTTTTCACAAATACAAAGAAAATTCCATTCTCCTCCATACCAGTAAGTACAAAGTAAATTGTAGGTTAGTCATCCTTTTTGTTCTTTCATGTAGAAAACTTTATTCTTTTCAACTCAAGGTACTTGTGTACGTAAGTAGCGTATAATAGATTATTTTTACTAACTTTTAATGGGGATAGAGCGCGTGCGTGCGCGCGCGCACACACATACACACACACTGTCACGACCCAAACCGAAGGGCCGCGACGGGCACCCGTTGCCTTACTCAACCGAGTACCAACGTAACATATCTTTCTTATCATACTATCATGGGTAAATGATTCCGAAAGGCCGTCATGAGATAGCACGAATAAAACATAAGGGAATACTTGACATAGGACGATCCAACATGCAATACAAACTTATACATGTATCATACGGTCCTATAAGACCAAAACGAACACTCGTACACTAAATATAGGCCGACAAGGCCATACAATCTTTCATATACATGACATCTGTCTACAAGCCTCTAAGAGTACATACACATCATAAAGGTCGGGACAGGGCCCCGCCATACTAATCAATACATGTTCAAGTCATACTGACCAAATAGGCAACTCCGGAGCAAGTGGAGTGCACCAACACCTTCCGCTGAGCTGATAGCCTACTAGGAGGATTGTCAACCTGTCTATCAGGACCTGCGGGCATGAAACGCAGCATCCCCAGGAAAGAGGGACGTCAGTACGAATAAAGTACCGAGTATGTAAGGCAGGAAGGCATAAATAAGAACAATAATATAACTTGAGATAGAGGAGATACAACATGTAACATTTGAGTGCCTCTGAGGGATACTGACATGAAATGCATAATACATATATATACACAAACTTTTAAAAACATACGCCTCTATGGTCATCATCATCATCATAT